TCCCAGTCAACAGAAAGGTGGCCATAGGGCACAGCATATTGACAAATAGCCACATTTCCTCCTTCTTATAAGGGCTTTCAGCTCCTGTATCTGCTCAGAGTCCTGTCACAGGTTACTCCAAATGTGGCATAATCCTGTGGTCCCAGTCAACAGAAAGGTGGCCATAGGGCACAGCATATTGACAAATAGCCACATTTCCTCTTTCTTATAAGGGCTTTCAGCTCCTGTATCTGCTCAGAGTCCTGTCACAGGTTACTCCAAATGTGGCATAATCCTGCTGACTACACCGATTTGTCTGGCTACTGCTAAGGCCTACTGCGAGGCTAAGGCTAAGGCTGATGTCATGTATCCTGCTCACAGTGCCAATTGTCTAGCTCTTAATCCTGTTTGTGATGCCAGTTGTACCTAGGTGACCACGCTAGTTGTCACAGCTCTTTTACTTGCTGGTAACCTTGCACCGACTGGGCCAACGGTTGTTGAGCTAAGGCTGGGTCTGGAGCTTCCAGACCCCTCAAGCCTATTCACAGACTGGGTCACAAAGCCTTCACATGCCAGGCTGGGTCACCAGACCCCTTCACACAGATCTATATGCTAGGTAACCGGCCACACAGTCCTTGGAAGCTGCAGGTCTGGAAAAACATGGCCATGCAAGGCGGGCGCCCAAGGCAGTAAAACCCAGCCAAAGTGGCATTGCCTTGCAGGTGCACGTATTCCACCCACACACACAACGTTACTGAACCACCCTGAACAGGCTCCGAGGCGAGGGGAGCCTGACCACATTGTTCCATTTTCCCAAAAGAGGTCAAAACTGAAGAGAAATGAAAAAGGAGAGATCAGTGAAGTCCTTGCTGTTGGTGTGCCCAGTCTACAGACATCAAATGAACTTCAATATGACCAAGGGCTCTTCAAACAACCCAAGAGGATGAACTGTGGATTTGCATGTGGTGAAGATAAATTTTACACTGTTATGCTCAAGACTGGAGCTGCAGAATAGATGTTATCCAGAGAATTTACAGGCGCTGGAACAATCTGGACAAAGACCTGTATGGTGATAACCTGGAAGCTATAATAAAGACCCTCAGGTTTGCGTCTAATGAGGAGTTTTCTGGTGCAGACCTTAGGCAGAGAGGCCAAGACAGAGCCTTTCAGTATGAGCAAGATCCTTTTGGTTTGGACAAATTTTTGCAAGAAACCAAATAGCAGGGAGGCTCTAAAAGACCCTCAGCTGCTGCAAAAGAAACATGCATGAAGGCGAGAAGCAGAGGAAAAAGTAGATATGCTTCTCTGCAAGGTGAATGGACTATTATCCATAATCCTAATGATATGGGTCATATGGAGCAACACTGTAAATGGTCAGGATACAAACCAAATCTGGGAGCCAGATCCCACTTTTTTACTATGGGACAAAAAATAAAAAATTTAAAAAATTGGTTGCTTTTAAAGAGTGGTTTGCATTTGTGCTTCTTTCACCTTTCAGCATTTATAGAACATACTGCTCCCCACACGAAATTAAGACCACTCCCTTTTGTGTGACCACTCCCCTTTTCAGTAGCTTGTGGTTAATATTTTGTGTAAGAAAGACTACTTGTGAAGAAAGTCACCCCGACCTCAACAAGTAGGAGGATGTTCACATATTTCAACTGTCCTGCCAAATGAATTTTGTCTCTATTGTGCTATGTTTTAATTTGGAGTGAAAAAAGTAAGTATTTGCTTGGTGCACCCACTCGTTTCAAATAAAAACATTTTTTAAAGTGCTATTGCTGTCGTCACAGGCAAGAGCCTTAATGCCTAAACTATTGTAATACAGAATGAAAAAAAATATGTGCCAATTCCACAGTTAGTTATATGGAGTCTGCGGCTTCGGCACTTTCTGTTTGAGTAGAAACACTCATCTCAGGGCCAAGAACCATCCCCAGCTTCTCGCAATTTGGGGGGCAATGAAGTCCTGTCCAGAGTGCCTCTCCCATGGAGTTCTGGGAGATGTAGTTTTCTCTCACTCCGTGCTGTGGCACTTTCCATCTAAGCATGCACCAGGGGAGGATCCGGAATCTCAGGGAGGTGAGCTGGCCGGGTGGAAACCTGAGAAGGAACAGAACCTAGTGGGTCCTGTGACCGGCATGAGTTTGAAAGGCAGGGCTGCAGAAGCTCAGAGCCCTGGAGAGAGAGGACCAGGGACTGCCAGCAGTGCTAGGGCCTCACAGCTGCCTCACCTCTGAGCTGAATACCAGGCCGAAATATCAGTTAGAGATTCACACTCACAAAACCGGAGGCCATGTAGGTTATAAAATTGGAAATTTAAAAATAATTATCTTTATATTGTTTCCATGTGTGAATAACATATATGTAGGTATATATTATTCATAAGTGGATATAACCCTATGTACAAGGTTAAATACAAATGTTCCCTGGGCGGAGTCAGGTCCCAGCTCAGAAAGGAAGTCCTGCCTGAAAAGGACGGCAGCCAAGAATCTGTCACTCTAGCTTCACTCAGCCCTGAGTCTGATGCACCTCCTGTCCTTCAAGGCCCTAAGGGACCGAACCTGCAGTCCTGTCCAATCAGGGGCGCTGAGGTGAGAACTGTCCAATCAGGCGTGCCGCTGGGGAGGAGGGGGCGGATTCTCTAACCTCTTGGGGCCTTTGTCTCCAGGCTGCAGAACTCAGACCTGTCTGCAGAGTTCCCTGTCCTCTACCCCGGGCAGCTCAGGTGGCACCGGTCTGGTTTCTGTCACCCTGTGACCTGCAGGTACTGGGCGATCCATAGGGAGGATGTTAGGACACCCAGGCCACTGGGACATGGTGAGTGTGTGGAGCTGGGGGTCCCAAGACCCCAAAGATTCATTTGTTTTCTGCTCAGTAGCCAATACTTGAGAAGTGTTGGTGTAAGGAAAGGCAGCCTTTAATCAGGAAGCCCGCAGCCTGGGGGCATGCTGGGCTCATGTCCCCAAGACCCTCTCCGGCTCTCCCCGGCTTGCCGAAGGATTTCATGGGGCTGTGTGGCGGGGGCTGATTTACGGTGACCCCGCGGGGTGTGCAGGCAGGCGTGGGAGTTTCAGATAATCACCAAGGGGAGCTGACCGGCCTCACCCTTTGTTCTCCATGGGTTCAGTTCCTGTTAATCTCAAGGTCAGGAGAGTAAGCTGGTAAAAACTGGCCCTCTGGGTTAATCGTGTTTCTCTAATTATTTTGGGTACAGTGTGAGCAAGAGTCGCTGTGTTCTTGCAATCAACTGCAGGCCGTGTGGGTTGGGTGACAGGAAGAAAAAAACCCCAAACTTTTACATTCAGAGGTGTAACAAATGGAGTCCCGTTCTGTTCAGGCACAGCATCTGGGTAGAACCAGCCAGAACCGGCTGCGGCTGGACCCGGGCTTCCGGGGGTCAGCTCCGGTCTGCCAAGGAGTCCGCAGCTGGTGCAGTCGGGCCGTAGGTGGGGTCCCCGAGCGACCTGTCCTGTCCCCGCGAGGGAACTTCCGCGGCCCGGAGCCCTCGCTGTGCAGCTCCACTGTCGCAGCCCGGCGGCTCCCCAGATCGTGCGGTGACAGCGGGAGGGTCATCGGGAGGGTCCGCACCCGGTGTGTGGCGTTCGTTCGGGGTTCCTTCATGAGAGAAGCTGTCGTCTGTGGGGACAGCTTTCTCCTGTTAAAAATTAAACTCAGAATGTTCGCGTTCACTTGGCAAGCAGCGATTCATGCATGGGAAGCCCCCGCCATGGTTTGTGGTTTGGGGTCCCCCTGAGGGGACTGAAGGAAAGGCCAACCAAATTAAATAACTGATTGGTTACAGTTACGTAGTTGCTTTCTTTGGAAATTTCCTGGCTGTGTAATCAGGTGAATTTGCCGTCTGTGGTTGCTTAAGCCTAAATTTTGTTTTCCTCTACATTAGTAACTTACAAGAAATGCATTTGAGTTCCATTTCGGATTCCTTATGTAGGAACCCAGGAAACTACAGCCGCTTCGGTCGGATTTTCTCCTGTTTATTTCAACACTCCACAGGTGGACTGGTTGTCCCTGCCTTTTCCAAATATATGCGAAGCAGGGTCTCAAATCCACGACCCTGTCTCCCCAGCGTAACTCTTCCAGCGCTGGCAGTAAAATCCTAAATTTCCAGTTCCTTCTCAACATTCCCAAAATGGCAAATTCCCCTTTCCTATTCATCACATCGTCAACTATTTGTCTTTTATTGTACATTTCAAACAGTGTTTTAATTATTTATCATTTTTTTCACAGAGCAACGGATGACTTTTAAAAATATTTCTTTTCTGTTTGGAAACATTTTACAGGACAGGAAAGCAAGAAGAATCACCTGAGACTGCTGTAAAAAATCTTTGTGCTCTCCTCCTCTTATCCCCCCTAGGGACAGCCACAGTTTCAGAATGTCTTTGCGTTGAGAATTCCCTTTGGAAACTTTACAGGGTGATGTGTCCTCAACCCAGTCTTTCTTTTCCTGTCCTGCGTTTCAGAAATGCCTGGAGGTGACCCAAAATGCCCCACAGCTGCCATGTCTTTGGGAACACTATATGACCTTTGAGTCATCTCCCAGAGGACAGCCTGAGGGATGGGGGTGGCTAGAGCCTCTCAGGGGAGCAGCTGGATGCCCTTCATCTAGAAAGCTAACTCGTTGGGGCATTCGGATTTTCTTTCCCCCATCCTGGTTTTTATTCCTTGGAGACACATTGGTGGTCGGCCCATTGGAGACTAATATTCAAAGGAAAAGACATAAATGATTTCTGCCCTCTGGAGGCTCTCAGACTTGTGAAGGAAGAAAAACTATCCCAAAGGACAAAGGAAATTCACCGCAGTGAGGTGGTGCAAAAACCTACAAACCGAAATGCACCTCAGATGCAAGGTGGGGGTGGGAGTACAGTGCAGTGACTCCTGGGAGGGTGGTCATGGAGCACTTCAGTGAGCAGGATGGGGGTGGAAGGATGTCCCAGGTGATAGGATGGCCTCACTTGACACTGGAGTCAAGATATGTCTGTGTTCCAGTCAGCAGTATTCTGGTCTGGGTTTGTGGCCTTGAAAAGATTTGTTAAGCGAATCAAGCCTCAGATACAGTAGAGTTTGAAAGATAAGGCAATATTTCCAAAGAGCCAAAAAAGAAATAGATGTTAGAAAAAAAAAAAAAATTTAGTCTTACAGTTCGTTAGTTTAAAATTCTTATTCACCATTTTTTTTCAGAATGAGCGTAGTAATTTTCTCAGGTCTTTTTGGGCGAGGCAATGGGGTGGCAATTTCAAATGGAATTCTAGACCTTATTTTTTGGGAGTGCTACCAGGGAAAGGAAATAATAAAAATCTCTCATTAATTATGACTGAAAAAAAATGAATACATTTCCACAAGAAATTGTAGTAGATTAACTGGTGAATTATAAATAGTAACCAAAACATCAGTTCCTCTTTGTTGCAGGGTGGAGAATTTGTGATAGTTGATAATTGCATTCTGTATCCTGTTACCTGAATTTGGCAGATGAATGCTAAATCCTATGGGACAACCTTGGCAACACCTAGAAGTACTCAAATAGCATCACTTTACCACATGATTTATTATTATGGAAATAATAATTAAATGGCTTTGCTGTTTTCTGAGAGAAATAGATTTATGTATTTTTTTATAAGGGTACTAATCCCATTTAAAGGGCTCCCTGATGATCTCATCTAATCTTGATTACCTCCCAGAAATGCCACCTAATGCCATCACCTTGGAGGTTAGGATTTCAACATATGAATTGGAAGTGGGGGGACATAACCATTCAGTCTACAACACTCTCTAACAGTTTTCTTTAGAACATCTTGGCTATGCCTAGACATTTGTCTTCTCTTTCAGTTTTTAGAAATAGTTTTTAAGTTTAACAGACAACA